AGAGTAAAGATTTAATGTGTTGTCTCTAAATGATACAAAAGTAGATATACAGCTGTTCTATAAACTGTTTAGACTTTGCATTTGTACGTTTCCCACCCCATTCAATATATTAAACATGGAAAGAAATATATTAAAGCATTCCATAAATATCTATGTCAATTTATCCATGTATTCCTAACATTTTTTCACATTTGAATTGGGTACCCTTGCCTTTAACAAGCAAAAACAATACCTTTTTGTCATGTTTACTGATTTTTTAATGATTCTAATTCGTATGGTAGTATTATATTCATACTTTTTCCTTTTTAGCAGTTTTTAAAAATTTTATTAGTAAATGTTTACAATTTATTCAGTTTACAATCATCTTGGGGAGCAGTTACATGTACATATTATAGCTTCTTTCATTTGTTTTTTTTTAAATTCCCTTCCTCTTCTTTCCTCTTCCCGCTCCTCTTCTAGTTCCCCTTTCCCCTTTTGAGTACTTGTTGATATTATTTGTCTTAGCTCATGTTATGGCACATAGTGTTTACATTAATTGGGGTTATTAGGTTCCTGTACATCTTTATTCCTCTCATTTCCCCTTATCTTCCTCCTCAACCCTCGCCCCTGTTCCCTTGAACAACTTCCCTATTGCAAGAGACCCATTCCCTTGTTCCTTTCTATCCATCCATTATCCATCCTTATCAGTCCTTTGTACTTTGCCTCTCTAAAATGAGAGATACCATATAGTATTTAAGCTTGTGTGTCTCACTTATTTCACTCAACATTATATTTTCCAGGTGCAACCATTTTCCTACAAATGTCTTAAATGTGTCATTCTTTATAGCCAAGTAGTATTCCATTATATACAGACACCACATTTTCTTTATCCAATCACCTGCTGATGGGTATACAGGCTGCCTACAGGATTTAGCTATTACAAATTGTGCTGCTATAAACATTGGTATGCATGTATCGCTGTAGTATAATGACTTAAGCTCTTTGGGGAAAATACCTAGGAGAGGGATAGCTGGGTCATATAAATTTCTAATTTCAATTCCTCAAGAAATCTCCATACTGATTTCCATAATTTATTCACACTTTTTTCTAAATGTAATTGATATTTTCATAATTCATTTAATATAATTTTCTCTAATTTTGCTTGTGCCTTTTACAAACAGCATATTCATGTACGTAAATCTGCTTATCAATACTTTATTAGAAAAGTTTAACCTATTAACTGTCCTTTTTTGGATATTTTGTTTTATTTTTGTTTCTATTCCTTAGGCAGTATCTATTCTCAAGTTTTACTACAATCTCAAGGTTTTTATGAAAATGCACATCTTGCTAAATTTTATTAATGCCAATGGTTTGTTGAACCAAAATAAACTGGCATAAACAAGCCTCTGTACTTGAACAGTGAAACTGCCCCAAAGGGGACTCCGTATACAGTGACCTACAATCTAGCTTGATGTGTAAGCAGACAGTAACATAAACTAAGAGTATACTCTTGGAGTTTAGTATCTGAGTCTCAGCCAATCACAGCAGCTAACCCTTGAGTGATTTCCTGAGTGACAGCTGCCAAATTATGCCCCAATAAGGCAAACACCAACAGTACCATCAAATAAGGTTGTATCTTTTCTTATCTTTCTGGTTATAAAGTAGCTCACTATTTAAGGCATGGAGGTGTAATCATGAACCATCTTCAGTCTGGAATGCTGCCAGGTTCTAGATAATTTTCTTGCTCAAACAGACTTTGCAAAGTTTAAGTGGCCTTAGTTTTTCTTTTAAAAATTTATACATTTGAAAATTAATTTAACTTACTGTTACCCAATTTTAAAGATCTTAGGAGTCTCACATATTCATGACAAAGAGTATTAGATACCCTTCTTCTGTTCCAGTACTCAGGTTTTCCAGGGCCTGGCACATGGTAGCCAGGTATTCCACCTCTGAGCTACACCTGCAGGCCTATCCATCTTCTTCTTGATTTTGGTAATGTAACAGAGATTTAGATTAAAATTATTAAATTTGTATTTTATTCCTGACATATCTTCTTTTCCAGGAATCAATCAACATGAGCATTGTATGTTATAATGAGATTTTTCACAATTATTTAAATTTGTTTACCTCTTCTCATCCTTTTATATGATGGTACCCCCGTGTGTGGGAAGTCTTGTGTTTTGTCTCTGGACTGTTTAATGTGTTCATTTATAAGGGTTGATCAAAATATGTGGCAAATGTTACATTTTAAAAATGTGTAAGACACACTGCCATCAATCTCCCTTAAGATACTCCTCTTCACTTCAAACACACTTGCCACTTTCTGAAGCAGTTCTGGAAGTCCTCTTTCACAAGTGTCTTCACAAGGTGTGATAAAAAATATGGCGAAAGCTGCTGCTGAATGGAAAAGCAGGGTTGTAAAAACACTAGAGGGTGTCTGTCCATCCTTCTTCGCTTTATTCTCAGGATTTGGCACCATGCAACTCTCAGCTCTTCCCCAAAGTCAAAATGATCATGAAAGGTAAGTGTTTTGAATAGATTCAGGATATCGAGGCAGCCGCCAGAGCACAACTAATGATACTAATGAAACAGGACTTCTTGAATTGCTTCATGAAATGTGAAAATGATGGGATAAATGTGTTTGAAGTGGGGGGTGGTATTTTGAGAGGGATTCATGGAAATTTGTCTTTTATTGTAATAATTTTTAAAAATTTAACATTCACTGTATTTTTGGCAATGTGTCTTTTACGATGATAAATTTTTTTTAAAACTTTAAATATTCACCATAGTTTTCAATTACATCTTGTAATACTTTCCTGAAAAAAGTGGTATACATTATTGGAGCTCTTGTACATAAGAAAATGTTTTTCTGTTGATTTTGTGAGTGAAAACTCCTTGGTTATATATAAGGTTGAATAATAATTTTTTGAGTAATAACTTTTCTTTTTCAAAACTGTTCAGCACCACTCCATTATTTTTCTAATTTCTTGGCCAGCATCATCCTGCTTAGAAATTTGCAGGATATTTTGTTTTTGAGGTTCAATTTTTTTCCAGGATATATCCAAGTTTCATTGTATTCATTTTTACATGACACATCGCTTTTTGTAAACATACTACCTTTCTGATTTTTTTCTGAATTTCCACAGTAGCTCATTTTCAGAAGTATGCTTTTATTCTGTAAGTGTTAAATACAGAAACCTTTTCCTTCTTCTACAGAATGTTCTCACAGGTTGCACCTTATTTGCCTGTCTATTCACTTTATTTATCCATTATTTCTGTTATGTTATTATTAAATCATCAGCCCCAGAAGTGCATTTTTTGAGTCCAAGATAACTATCATAAAGTCCATTTTTCTCAGAAAGTTGCATTATTTGCCACAACAATTTCTAATATTCAATTTTTAGCCTAAAATTCTTAACAATGTACTTAAAAATTCTTGCCTGGGGCTTTCTCCTTCAATGTTTTCTCTATTTCTTTAATTTTCAACCTTTTGGCTAGCTTCTATCAGCTCCATGGAATATTTGGACCAGATATATATCCTAGGGCCTCCCTCTGATCACAGGAGGGACCTGGGAAGAGATATACATCCAAGGAACAGGGAGGGGAAGTCTGCTTTCCAATATAAACTCTCAGCAGGAATCCAACTTTTGCCTCTAGGAGTGAATAAAAAACATAGAATGAAATCTTAGACCCCACTCTCAGAGCCTAGATCCCCACAAATTAGTATGAGCAGAAATCAACAGAAAACGAAAACAAAAAAGAAAACAACAGAAAAAACAGAGTTGCAAAATCTAAACCCTACAGGCTATGTCAAAGCCAAACATAAAATCTTCCTTAGGGACATTTCTAGTGTGTTTGGAACAACTGAATATTAAATCAGAGCAAGTACTGTAACATTCTTCATAACCAGGAAATCTTGAAAATAATCTAAATATACTTTAAAAAGGGAGCTAATAACTAAAATATAGTTACATTTATATTTAATATTAAAAGGATTGTGGGAGATCAACATGGTTAGAACATAGATATATAAATAAGCAAACAAGAACAATATGTAAGATCTCTATCTCATTTTTTAAAATTGAAAAATAAAACAATTATAAATGTTTATAGTATAAAATATATACTTTATGGATACTATATATGGACATTATATATGCAGTGAAAGTATAATTAACATATTTGTATTAATAAAATATGTTCTCTATATATGTATGCACATGAACATTATATGTATATAAAAGTACAAACTATACTCAAATAATCATACAAAATTAATTATAATAGTTTTCACAGGGGTGGTGAGAAGACAATAACATGATCAGACATGAATAGGAAAATTTCACCTGTCACACTTTAGTTTATATAAACAAAGCATCAGGAATTGTTGATTCTTCTTAATGAATGTCTAAGTGTTTGTAATAATTCCTCTTTTTTAAAATAATTTTTTAAATTCTCCCTCAAAACAAAACAAAAAACCACTTAATCTGTACAAGAATCAGGGACAGTTTTTGTCCTCCTGAACTGTGAGTTGAAAATAATTTACTGTAATTGATCAATAAAACACTATTTCATGGAATAAACAGAACCAGAGACATGGTCAACTGTAGCCCACACTCTATAGAAACAATCTGACTGGAGGTGGAGTTTGTTTTTTAATGTATACAGATCCATCCTCCCAGCAAAAATAATAGGCTTGCCATTACTATATTGTAGAAGAGACTTTTTGTTTACGTACTGCTGGGGATCAAACCCAGGTCCTCACACATACCAGGCAAGCACTCTAACACTGAGCTATACCCCTAGCCTATAGAAAGATCTTTTCAGTGATCATTCTGCCATTAAATCAAGGGGTAATATGCCTTCTCATTCTGAATCTCTAACCCAACTATATGGCTAATTTTGACAAAGCTTTTTTTTTTTTTTAAAGAAAGTGAAATGTTTCTGTCTCATTGAAGATGAGAACGTACTTTCCTACTGAGAGACTGACTTTCACAAAGGATAGTGTGTTTGTTCCTTACCTGCTCTTTCATTTCAGCATAGACCTTTTCTGAGTTCAGTTCCACCTGGAGCTTAAACTCTTCCAGAGCAGCATCTGCCTGCTGGGCCTGCAACCTCTGAACTTCAGTCACACGAGTGAGCTGCTCCTCTTTTTCCCTAGGAAAGTTCAGAAAAGCTTCAGAGATAAAATATAAAAGAACTATAGGCTTCAATGGAAGAACAATTGTTAGTGACTCTATAATGAAATTCAGTTTGTAATTTTCTCATACAAATCCTACAGAATTTTCTTTTAAAAAGTCAACAATAAAATAATTTGTCTAAGGAACAAAGGGTATAAATACACAATGTATATATGGTTGTGGGCATAACTATTTTCAAAGATTTCCATACAAACAAAACTGTAAAATCATGTGTTTCCATCAACTGATGAACAGATAAACAAAATGTGTGGTACATCCATACGATGGAATATTATTTAGCCTTTAAAAAGGAATGTAGTTCCACTATATTCTACAACATGAATGAACCTTGAAAACATTAAGATTAGAGAAAGAAGCCCAACATAAAAGGTCACATATTTTATGATTTAATTTATGTGAAATATGAGACAGAAAGTAGATTTGTTGTTGCTAGGAACAAAGGAGGAGGACTTGGGTATGGTTGTAAATGAATACGGGTTTCCTTTTGAGTAATAAGCATAATCTGGAATTTGTGTCAACAGTTGCATATTCTTGAAAATGTACTGAATCCAGTGAACTGTTCAATGAAATTTATGGTATGTGAATTATATTACAATTTTTTTTTTGTACCTGGGATCGAACTCAGGTCCTTGCACTTGCGCAGCAGGCGGTGAAACCACTGAGCTAAATCCCTGGCCCTATATCACAATTTTTAAAAAAACAATGAACCAATGAAAGATGCCTATCTACCAGCAATTGATCTGCCAGTGGTCAAAGCAACAGAGGCAACATGGTGGCCTGGAATTATTCTGCTGTCCTCCAGTACACTTGCCTAAAAGAACTGATAACCATCTCATCTCTCCAACCTCAAACCGAAACCATACAGTCAAAAGGGCCAAACAAAAGCAAAATATATTTTTGCACATTAACAGAAAGAAAAATAAAGGCTTTGGGTTATGAAAGCACACAAGTTCCTAATAATTAATGTGAGTTCTGACTAGGTGCTGGGCATTGAGCAAAATATTTTTATATATCTTCCCTCCCTTATTTTCTCAATAAACCTGCAAAAAAGTTATTTTACTCTTCCTTTTACAGAACACCAAACTGGGGTTTAGATACATTTTTAAGATGACTCCCTTAGTAATTGTTCAAGTCAAGATTTCAGTGGTGGCTGTCTGTTTCTAGAGTCCTGTTGTTGGCTCTCACACTATGCTGTTCTCCGTATTTTTCAGATAACATAACATTAACTTGGCTTATCATCCATTAAGTGCAATGGTACACCACATATATATACATACACATACATATACACGTATATTAAAAACATCACCTTAGTGCTAACTGTAACACTAAAGGATACTGGAGGATGTAGTAGTTTAACTTACCCAAACCCAATTTTAGAGAAGTATCAGTGAGGGAAAAAAACATTAGAAAACCATGATGCCACTGTCTTTTAAAAGGCAAGCAAAAAATAATATGAGCTTTTTGGGGTTGCTCAAACCTACATTTAAAACATGTAACTTCTAAGCTTTACTCTAAGACCATATTTATAATACAAAATAACCAAAATATCAAGCTTTCTCCTCACCAAACTGAAACCCTCACCAAATTGAAACTTTGTCCTCACCAAACTGAAACCCGTTTCTTCCATGTACCTGTTTTACAGGCATAGCCAGCATTTTTCTGACCTTTAGGATTGAATACTGCCCAAGGTGTGTGATGCCTTGCACAAGAACTAAGCTATTCCTGATCAAGATGCAGGCAAGGTAGAGTTCCAACTTACTGTACTTTACGGCAACAGGCTCAGGCTTCTAGAACTTCTCGAAAGATTTTCTTTACGTCATCCATTTTGATGGACAAGAACCTGAATATCTTTTTGTCCAATTTTCTTACATATTGCTAAAACAAAATGTCTTCAGTGTTAACTGATTGATTACTAAGTTCCAAGGCTTTAATATTATTAGTGTTATTGCTAATAATATTATTATTATTGCTTAGTTCCAAAGGCCATAATCTAAGGCCTATGAAGATACATTTTGGCCACTTTATATTAGTTCATAGATAATGATGATTAAAAACTGGGTATCATGTGAAGACTATTCCAGGGACATCACTACATAAAAGACACTCTGATGGCTAAAGGATTTTAATTTGGTCTGGTGCATTTTACCCTCCCTGTATTTGAATATCAGAACAGTGCATGGGAACAACATAGAGTTATATAAATTGTATTGGCTACCATGATCTAGACTAGGGCTGATAAATGGATGTATTCTGATATGATGGTCTCAAATGACTAGGGGATCTTGGAATGCTCTTCTGAGAGCAGAGTTTGAAGGAAAGACTGCTTTGGGTGATGGGTGGTGACCACACTGCAAAGCACTGGGTTAGGCGGAACAAGGGCTGTATATCTGCTACTCAGAGATCAGAGTGACTAGTTTATTCTGTTACTCTTTAATTTTTGAGGCCCTCCTACAAGCACTTGAGAAGATTATTACATATTTTGGATGAAAATTTATCACAGGAATGCCTTTGTTTAGTCAATCTGTAAATAGAAAAGAAATACTGGACAATTTTTTAAAACTTAAAAGTTTATATAATTTTAAATTATGTCCCATTAAGCAGACAAAAGAAAATCTGCTAACATCTTGCAAAAATATATGACCTATTGCTAAAATACCAACCTAGTTGATATTTTGAGAGTCAGTTGTTTCTACATTTTTTGCAATAATTCACATGGGTTATACTCAGCTAATATAAACACTTTCAATTTAATAGAACAAATCTTTTCTTCATTATGTCATTTTTACCTACCAAGTTTAATTCATATACTTTATAACTAAGTTATGATCACATAAATCAAAGTCATAAACTTTAGCCATCAATATATTTTAGAAACCACCCTAAAATATTAAAGCCTGGCACAATAAAGTATGTTGTTTTTAATAGACTATTTCTGTCCTGATTTACAAATAGTATACATTATTTCATATTAAACAGGAAGCATGGGGAAATGTGTTAAGTTTTCTAACTAGTTACCAGTCCCACCACATAAGCTGAGCTAACATAATAGTCAAGCTAAATATCAAAGAAGGTCTTGCTCAATGCAAATCAATGCTCTTGCTAAATAAAGCCATGACTAATACACTGAGCTCCAGTAATATTTAGGAATCTTCCTTCTTAACATAAATTCAGTTGCTATCTTAATTTAAATATGGAGGTGATTTTTATATTAATGAGAATCACTATACTTTCTGTAAGGTGATGACACTGAAGTGAAAACCATGAGCAAAGGTCTGCTCCTTGTTGCCATAAGAACAGTGCTCCTTTCTTTACCATCCCAAATACTGTATCCTACAAGCAAAAAAAAGTGACTTTGAAGATTTTTTTCCTGTGGAATTAGATGGGATGGTGAGTATAAATGCATCTTCAAATGCCTTAAAGCTGGGCCTCTATGAAGATAAAAAAGTGGAAAGAAAATTTGCTGTTTAGCTCAGATTTATTTATAAAACCCAATAAATTTTCCATATCTGAGTATATAAAGAATAAAGAAACAGAAGCAGCATTCTTACACAATCACAAACCAGCTCAGATTAAAGGATGTTCTGAAGTACATGATTATTCCAAAAGGACAATAAAATATAGGGGACTAATGGACTACAAGTTAGTATTTCTTGAGCTTTACAAGCTAATATTTTTATGTAAAGGCCAACTCTAATTTTAAAATCTTCCTTTGGTACATTTCTATACCAGCTCTTTTGACAATGATAGCCATGATCCAACATATATTCATTAGGCTTCACATTACAGTATATTTTATTTGCTGCCATCTTGGCATCTCCACTGGAAACTCCAAGAAAAACAAAACAAAACAAAACAAAGAAGTCTGAAAAAACAGCTAGAAGAGTCTCCATTTTTCTCTGGCTGGGCGGAGAAGACTTTTAAGAAGCAATATCGTGGTTCCGGTGCCCACCTTGCAAGTGCAAGGTCCTGAGTTCTATCCTGATATCAAACAAATAAACAAAAAAAGAAGCAATATCATCTGTGTTCTTGGCTGCCAACTGGAACTTAAATTAATTAGACTAATTTTAGCCAGAAACATTAAATACAATATATTTCACTAAGCATGGTAAATGAGTAAATTATTTAGCTTCTTATTGCACTTCTACAACCAGAGGTATCTTTTAAACTCTTACAAAACATGGTACATGCTATAGACATCAACATCAGATACTTCCAGAGTCAAAAATGAATGCCCAGTAAAGCGGGCCTCAGTTATTGATCTTAATATTGAAAACATGGAGAACACACCTATATCGATATCTACAGTCAACACAATCAATGTGTGCAGGACTACAAGACAAGGAAAGGGTTCTTCCTAAGAATGTCCTGAAGGAACCAGTCCTGATAACACCCTTTAAGTCTCATTTTGAACTTTGGACCTCCAGAACTATACAGTAACAACCTTCAATTGTTTTAAGGTATTACGGCAATTTGTTACAGCACTGATAGGAAACTAATACAATTAACAATACTTATATGTATCAAATACAATATATCAAGAGTATCTAAGGTATTTAATATATAATATATAAAATAATAATGCTATAAGGAACAAAATTGGAGTGGAGTATTAGGGAAAATGTAAGAAATCAGACAAAGAAAAAAATTATATAAGCTGAACTATGCTACAGCTTCAAATATTTGACATTTTTCTGAATGTTCAGTACTTGAATTCTTCCAAAGAATATTATCAGGCTTGAAAGACAACCTAAAAAACAAATTATTTCTCCAAAATATATTTACATTTAAGTTTGAATGAGAAATAGCCAAGGGTAAAACTGTCCAAAGACTACACAGTTAACTCTAGACATCCTCCTACACAGAGATGCATTGGCCCAAATAAGCAAACTCTATGTTGTGTTAGTACAGAAGGTGAGACTGTTGTGAACCAAAACTTCTGGAAATAAATAACCA